ATTTTTAATTCTATTCATTTTTTCACAAACATCAAATCATATTATATCATATTAGATAATGTAAGTCGGAACTAGTAAAATACCTACACCATGAAACATCGCCCACTTTCAAACAAACTTTAGAAGCAATATTGTAGAAGAACTACGATAAAATTTGATATTTGATTATATTTCTTCCACAAACGATTTCTGATGCGTACTTCAGTTTTGAATTTTGGGAATTTCTATTTCGTTTAATGAAGAGTTTGTACGTCTTTATTTCAGTCTAGTTCACATGTACTTTTTTTTAATTCAGCTAAAACACACTCAAAATCACACTTCCACAAGAGAAAACAAACATCAATGAACACATTATTCTTCCACAAAAATCTACTGGAACAAAAATAGACCGCAAGCTCATAACACATTTTAAGGAAGGCACATTATGGTACCTCCTGAAAATTTGTGGTGGTACCATAATTTGCCTTTCTCAAAATATGTGATTTTTATAGTACTGAAGTGAACAATGAATTTGAGCCTAATGCCGTAAGTTGAAAGGGCATTTTAAAATCTTGGAAAAGTGAAAACAACAACTGAAGGAAGGTGGTTTATCAAAATAAAACTTTTATAAATCTAGATACAAATTATGACTGAGATCTCTTTCGATCGAACGCGTTACAAAAAAACTTAATAGAGGAATAGGAAATAATTTTCATTTTCGAAAAAGAAATCTCTTCATGTAACATTGATATTTTTTATGTTTGTGTCACAGAACAGAACACAACATAATATAACACCACATGAAACCTAACATAACCCAACAAAATATAATACTTGTTAACATAAGGATTTTTATCTAGCATGAAAAGTTATACAGCAATTGCATTGATATACACATTATTGAGTAATGTTTTCTATGAACAGCATCTACCTATGGTACAGCCAATCCTATCCTATCCTTATCCCCAATACAGCATTATCTGTCACAAATTTCTTTCTCCGATGTCGCTATCCAATTCTCATGTTTTTCCGCATCGCAAGGAATATGTACAGACAGTGCAAGAATTCGGTGTGGTGGTAGAGTCGCAGCAAAACGGTCAAACTTTGACAGAAGAGGAAGTGGGAACCCAAAATGATGCTGAGTTTAGTCCTCTAGCTGAGCCCTCACAGACCCCAAAAAAACTGATATCCAATTCAGTTTTGAGCAGTGTTGCTTCTAACTCCTTATCTCACCGATCCAATGAAGTGGTTATTCAGAAGAGGATAGTAGTGGCAAAGGTAGTATCAACAGTTACAACAATAGATCGGTGATACATTCTTCAGTCAGAACTCTTCGGTTTAATGGGTTGGAAAATATTGAAAACACCTGTTTCATGAACAGTGTAATCTATGTTTATCAAACACGGGATGGTTGCTGGAATATTTGAAAAAGGATACATACATGGAAGGTATCAATACTAGCAGTTCTAGTATGAAAAGTGTTTTAATCAAAGCGTTCGCAGAAGTTATCAAGAAATTGTGGTCAGAAGATTCATCTGACAGAGAGATTAACACAGTCTATTTTAAAAGTCAGATTCAAAGATATGCCCCTCGATTCACGGGTTCTGCCCATCATGACGCCCACGATTTCCTTCAATATCTTTTATCGGTTTACATGAGGACCTCAACAAAATTACTGAGGATCCTGAACCGATCTTAATGAAGATTGACGAAAAATTGAGCGACAGCGGAAAATCACAATAGTCCTGGCAGAGATAATTGAATTTGAACAACTATAAGATTGTAGACAATTTCGTTGATCAATTATGTAGCAGACAATGTGGCTCCTTGTCGTTATAATCTATATGCACTTTCAAATCACAGTGGAACTACTTACAACGGGCATTACACATCATATTGTGGCACATGGCATGAATACAAAGCGACATGAATACAACGATTCACACGTGTCCCCAATTTCATCAAAATCGCTTGAGAGTGATGAGGCATATGTCCTCTTTTATGAACAGGAGGGAACGAAGTAGCATCTTCGTGATTTTCTTCCTCGTTATTCTTTTTTTTATAAACTTAGTTTTCTGAATTGATTTGTATTTCATGATTGTTCCAAAAATTAAAAGTATGAACACAATGTTAATCATAGCAATTCATCTCTCAGTTTCATTCTTAAATATTTCAGGTTTCGTGTTATTCTATAGTTTTGAGGTGTTCCGGCCAGTTTATAGAAAGCAGAAATTGAATCGCGACTAAATCTTTTCTGACCAACTATACATCTGTTAGCATCGAGAAGAAATATATTATTAGATTGTTTCAGAAGTTCTGTTCGTTTTAATGAGTCTACATCAAACTGTAATATCTCAATAGATACTTAATCAATTCAATCGAGATGAGCGTCATTCAAATCAGTGCATTTTTCCAACGTAACACAACTCGATTAATTCCGTCAGCATGAACATTCGGTGCTCGGATTTCGATGATAGACCGTTTCTTCCTGACCCCGATTAGCGACGGTTCTACTGATGGGAAAGTTATCGAAGTGCTTGAAAATAGAGTAGTTGGTTGGCGAGAGGTCTGGGGAGTATGGTGGGTGAGGCAAAACTCTGACGCTCAATTTCTTTAATTTTTGGATGATAATTTGTGAACCGTGCGGACGAGCGTTGTCATGGAGCAGAAAGGACCTGTAATGTTGACCAATGCTGGTTGCTGCTGACGTAATTTTTGGTATATTTCGTCTGGTTGGTCCGGTTGTAGAAAGTTATAGTGAATCACACCAGTCGCTGAGGGTTTTGGTTTCTGGGAAGGTGGCTCATCGGTTTCCAACCACTGTCCTGGACGTCTCTTGTTATCGTAGAGGATCAACTTTTCATCACACGATCCGATACAAAAACGGATCGTTCTGGTTGTGCAAAAGCAAAGATCTTGAAACTTGACAATTTGTGTCAGGTTTTTGCTTCGAGGCTAAAATATCCGCAATGAAATTTCGCAAACCAACGCACCAACAGTAACTTCATTAACACTAACATTGCCAAATGTCTGGTGGATTTTTCGGCAGCGCTTTGGTTCAATTTGAATTCGTAGAGAAAAATTGGCCAAAAATCGTTCAACGATATCATATATTAATGACCTGAAAAAAGGCAAAAATCAAAATGTGTAACAAAAATTAACAGCGTCAATGTATTGAATACAAAATTATCTATCAATCAGTATATACCATAACACATTAAAATAAATATCTATTGAGATATGGAGCTACAAGGAACATGACATAATTATTTACTTCAAAACTTCTTTTTATTGTAATAATGGATATAACTTATTTGTTGATTACCAAATGAACAAGAATGTTATTTGAAGGGTCATATGGAAGACGATACAGTACTTTTAAAGTTTTTACTAAACAGTAGAAATTTTGTCGACAGTAATTCTATATTTTAATCCACATATATTCAATGAACATTCAATTCAACTACGGATGTGAGATTTGGAAAAAACACTACTTACTGATTCAACTTAGGTCATATTCGCAGTGCTCCAAGTGTATCCAAGATATGATGTAGTATTTTGCTTTTTTGTGAAAAATAACAGAATTTCCGATACCAAAATGTTTTTCTATTTTACGTTCTCATTTTCACGGCGTATTTTGAGGAAATTTATAAAAACCTTTCATACTTTTTGTCAATTCACCTCACCTCCAAATGAGTTGTTGTTGACACTTTTTCACGATTTTCATAAGCACTACTTCCAACTGAAGTTATTAGGTAACTGATTATTTATCTAAGTGCTATAAAATCACATATTTTCAATTGTCTGATTGATTCGGCCGTTACTTGATGAAGATCCGTATTAATTTCATAAACTACACCTCACGATTTGATATTCACATACTTTCTTAAAAAAAATATATCACAAAAGTAGCTTCTTCAACAGTAATTTGAATACTACACGATGCTTATTACGCTAATATTTATATACCACAGATAATTACAATTGAGACTACCTTAATCAAATTACCTAAACCTCTACAACATATTACCTCACTTCTACATCAATATTAATACTTCCTGGGTATTTTTAAGAAAACAAGTTCAATAATGGTGATCTATTCAAATCCAGTTGGTCATTCATTAAAAAGTTTGAATTTTCAATTTAATAATTTCCGTTGCTTCCAAATGATTCAGTTTCAAACCTTTATTCTCTATGTGTAAAATTTCGAACTCTTTGTTAAAGGATGATTTGAATATGTTGAACTTGTTTTCTTATTTACATAGCTCATATGATGTTCCTGAATTAGAATCCTGAATTTTCTGCAAGTTTGACCAACATATACCTCAGGACATGTTCCACACTCCAATTTTAAATACTCCAGATTTCCCGAAATTGGATGTCTTTATTGTTTTTAACTAACTTTCCTAACGTATTGCCTGTTCTATATGCAATTTTAATATCTCGTTTCCTCATAAATGTTGTTTCTCCAAAATATGTCGAAGCTCTATAATTTTGATGAGACGTTTTTTCTATTGATAAGTTAGATAATTAAAATCAAAATTATAGAGTTTTAACGTATTTTGGACAAACAACAGAAAGACTGGCTTCATTTCTGAGGAAATGAGATATCTCCAAATTATACTCAATATATCTTGAAAAATGAAATCGAAAAGCTTCGAAAGTTCAAAAATGTCAATAAAAAAATGTTGAATGCAAAATTCATTGGTAAACATAAAATATGCAGTAAATTCGAAAATTTGTCAATTTTAGATGATTTCACATAGTTTCAGATAGAAAAATATATCAACTGTTTTTTCTGTGTGTTTCACTGAAATCTGAAAATGAATATCACGTCAAAATCACAACTTTCCGGAGCATTACAATATTCTCAAATCAAAAACTGACTTTTTCAAAAGAAGATTTACATGACTTGTCTCACATTATTAATTATATTGGGTGTGTGTATTAATTATATTATGTGTAGCTAAGCCTATGATTAATAAAGCAAATGAAACCCTGAAACGTACTTGTGGACAAACCTTTTGCTTGAGAGAATCAGTCGGATTTGACAGACTTGGACTTCTTCTGTCATTCGATTGTTGGGCGGTGCGGTACCTCTGAAGATCGCTCTCGGACGAAACGTTGGGGAACTGTTTGCTCAGTTGAGGTTTATTTGCTGAAAATGATGTTAATTAGTGATGGAGTGAACCTTTGTATGAAACTTGGCTTTTGTTTTTTCTTATACTCATTACAAAAAATCAGTTCATATTACAGTTAATATTTTCAAACGTTCTTTGAATATGCAATGGAATCCGCCAATATTTGATGTAAATCCATAACGTATTCAAAGGACACCTTATTGTGAGATTTTCACTAAACAGTTCCACAAAAACACGTGTTTTTGTGGAACCGCAAGAAACAATAGTTTCTTGCGGTTTATGCACAGTTTAAACGGACACGCCTGAACGTGTTGCGTTTTTGTAAAACTGTTCAGTGGAAATATCAGAATGGAGTGTTTCTTTAATTTATAACCGTTCTTTGTTCATTCACCTATAATAAGAATGTTAACACAGCTAGGCCAGTATTTAGAAGAACTCCAAAGTTCAATCAAGAAAAGCTTCAGTCAGTTCTCTTATTGCAGATTGTTAGAAGTTATTTACAAATGGTTGTGACATTAATGATGAACGAACTATTAGATATGAATGGCCTACTAGATATTACAGATTATATTTTCAGATAATGAATACCTATAATGATGCTTAACATATATGATGGAATTGGCCGATACTTGACGAAAATTCATAACTAACTTATCCAAAACACTTTACAAAAATGCAACACGTATTTCATTACGCTTCTTCGGACGTGTCTTTACTAACAAAATCTACATAATTATCGCCCAATAGACCTAATTTTACAATTTGAAGTACCTACATTTCAAATATCTGATTTTCACTTAAGTTTGTAATGAATTAAATTACCTGAGTTTATGTCCCATTTTCCACATTTGAAATAATATTTATTGATGGGGAGTTATTCAATTCTAATTGTTCATTCAGTAAATTACCCAAATTTTCGAATCTATTGATTTCCAAACATTCTAGCAGCTTGAGTTTCAAACTCTTCTCTTCTGAATGTAACACATCGTATTCACGATTGAACTCATGTCGTTCTGCTTAAAAATGGTTTGCAAATGTGAAATTGGTCTTTCTATTCACAAAACTTCTTTTATGCTCTTCAATCCTTTGGGAAAATGCTCTTCCTGTTTGGCCAATATACAGTTTTTGGCAAGAGCCACAAATCAGCTTATATACTCCTGATCTATCCGACACCGGAGTTTTGTCTTTATTGTTTTTAATAAATTTACTTAGACTATTATTCGTTCTGTGAGCTATGTTTACGCATTCTTTCTTCAAACAACGAGCAATATTATTGGTTGGTTCACCCAAATATGATAATGTCCTATGATGACGTTCTTCTTCGGTGTCGGATTGATCAGGAGTATATAAGATGCCTTGTGGCTCTTGCTCAAACTGTATACTGTCCAAATAGGGAAACCATTTTCCGGAAAAATGAAAGAGCATAGAAGTAGTTTTATGAATAGAAAGACCAATTTCACATCTACAAACCACCTTTTAGCGGAAGAACATGAGTTCAATCACGAATACGATGTGTTACATTTAGAAGTTTACAAATCAGTAGATTCAGAAATTTGGGCAATTTACTGAATGGTCAATTAGAATTGAATAACTTCCCATTACTAAATATTTTTTTAAATGTGGAAATTGGGACATAAGTTCAGATAATTTAATTCATTACAAACTTAGGTAAAAATCAGGTACTTGAAATGAAGGTCTTCAAATTGTAAAATGAGGTATATTATAGGTGTTGAATATGTAGAATTGGTTGGTAAAGACAAAGAATTGTATGGCAAAACGTGTTGCGTTTTTGTAAAATTGTTTAGTGAAAATCTCACATTAAAGTGTTTTTTTGAATACGTGTGATATTTATTGTTAGCACAGCTAAGATAGTTTTTGAAAAAAAAACTGATTCACAATCAGGAAAAGCTTAAATACAATTCAGTCACTGTTTAACGTAGAGTGTTTTTCAAACTTAGTTGAGATTGCGACTTTGATGAAAATCTCAAAAATGACCAACAAGATATAAATAGCCTACTATATTTGAACGGCCTATTGAAAATGCATGGCCTATTGGAAATGAACAGCCTACTAGGTAAGAACGGCCTACTAGGTAAGAACGGCCTACTAGGTGAGAACGGCCTACTAGAATAATGAATAATGTTAGCACAGCTAGGTCAGTTTTCATAAAAACTTCGATTTGCAATCGAGAAAAGCTTATAAACTATTAGATTCCTGGTAGTTATTTTCAAACGAAATCTAGTTGAGTGATTGTGACTTTAGTAAAAGACTTGAAAATAGGTTACAATATATGAACAGAAAAAGAAATGAATTAAAAATATGATATTGAGAAACAAAAGTCTTTCCGAAAATACAAAACATATATAAGGTATTTTATTAGGCGTTTCCTACTTTTAAATTTGAGTGTGAGATATCATCAAAATTTTTTATTAGTTTGAGAAACATATTGATGCAATTATGTGTAGAATATAACATCGTTCAAATGTCCGCCACGAATTCTTTGGGTGGAGCACATCCGAAACGTCAATTTTTCTCTCTGGTGCATAAATCAGGCTGAATTTGACCGATGGCATGAGTTATGTTGGTTTGAAGATCGCTGTGGTTTGTATTCGAATTCACCTGCGACTTGAAAAAGCCCTACAAAAAAAGTCCAAAAGGGTCAAATCGGACAATCTCGGTGGCTAGTTCACACCACTTCCACGTGAGATGACCATGCCCTCAAATCGCTCGTGCAGAATATCCAATATGGCATGAGTTGTGTAGTACGTAGCTTCGTCCTGTTGAAACCACATGTTCTTGGTGTCCAGATCATCCATCCATCCATTCAAGCACAAAAGAAATTAGCTATAATTGACCTATAGTACTATAGTACTATATTAAGGTCAGTTGCCAACTGCGCCAGAGCCCATTCCGCGAACACACGTTACTGCATATGGACGTTTACCTTCAGATCCTGAGTAAGTTGAATTTTGTACGGGTACAGGCCCATCTCAACAGGCGAGGAGTGAGAGGCCGAGTTCTTGCGAGCGAGGCGAAATCGACTGCCTCGGATTCTCCTGTACACTCTCACAGACAGCGGCGATGTTTTCAGCTGATCCTGCGCTTTGTAAACGCACGAGTGTTGGTCGGTCATTTACTGAACCAGAGGCCTGAAATTTATCCACCACATTGCGAATAGTTCTCTCGGTTTGACGATTATGGTGAACTTAAAATGGGCGGAGCGCGGTACGTTGCCCGAAAAATAATTTAATTATTTTCATGCTCTGTTGAATGCTATATTCGTCCATTGTGATTGGAAAAAACAGAACAGAATAAATGACAACTAATCGGACAGATGTACCTTCAACAAGATGGCCGTTATCAATTTTCAAAGTTCGAAAGTTTTTGTTGGAAGACCATATACATCACCCGTAGATGATATTCAGAACTAATCGAATAAAAAGCACAAAAGAAATTAGCTATAATTGACCTATAGTACTATATTAAGGTCAGTTGCCAACTGCGCCAGAGCCCATTCCGCGAACACACGTTACTGTATATGGATGTTTACCTTCAGATCCTGAGTAAGTTGAATTTTGTACGGGTGCAGGCCCATCTCAACAGGCGAGGAGTGAGAGGCCGAGTTCTTGCGAGCGAGGCGAAATCGACCAGAGCACAAACGTTTTGTTTGGGTTTTGGTATTCAACTTGTTGCCTTGCAGTGAAAGCTACAGTGTGAAACACAGGACAAATTTTGTTGGCGGTCGATGTCGGAGCTTGAATTTGCAAATAACCGCCTTGGGGAGACTCGTTTATTTTCGACATCCAAAGATTGAGTTTTCTGTAGATCCCATAGATGACGTCTTTGGAAAGGGAGAGGTTATCGACTCCACTAACTCAGGCTTGTCCATCGAATACAGTTGAGATTAGCATTTTTGGTTCAGCCAAGCACCACTAATGAGACCTATGGCAGGTCGAAACAGATCTGTCTGCTGTTGAATCATGAATGCGTCGTGTTTAGGCTCTGGTTTTCAAAAAGATAATTTTTATTGGAGTAATAATTCTAATCAGATTCAGAAACTGATTATTGAATTTATGAAGGTATCATTTTGCGAAAAATCTATCGAGTTATTTACTCTCAAATGTTTTCTTTTCAAAATCTGCAAAAGAAAATAGTACCCGAATATATGTAGAATTATTTCCTGTGTATCCCGTGTTAGGAATCACACGTTGAAAGCTAAGACCTCGTTAGTCCTTAGCTCGCACAAGTTTCTCAACTTCTGAGAGTTAACGTTCGTATGAGGGAGACAGCTGATTACCGGAAAAACAGATTTTAAAAACAGATTGAATGTTTACTATGGAGTGGTATATTTGGTAGAAATACGATAAATAATGAGGGGTATGGGAAATATTCGGGACACATTTCAGGGAAGGAACAACTAGGAACATTCACCAAAGCAATAACTTTTTTTGGATGGTAATAGGACTCACACACTTACAAAGACTAACGGTGGGGTATCCTGTTTTAAAGCATTGTCTTCTAGCTATGGCATCTAAACTCGTTGCATGCGATACTCTGTTCTGAGTTATGTGATGCTGCCTGGAACAAATACAGGGTGGAGATTAAAACAACACATTGGATGGAAATAAGAACACATGCTGAAGTTGTATTCTGAAACTAAGTTCCATAAAAGTTAATGCAAACGAGAAGTTCAGTTTATTGTTCAGGATAATTCACAAGAGAATACGTATAACACTCAATCAATTATTTTTACAGTGGGGACCATTCGTGAGGTGATATATCGTTTCCAAATGAATTCCAAGCCCACAACTTTTCATAATTTCCTGAATTATGACTGACCTGTTACTTGATGAAAATCAATAATACCATCCATGATAATAATACAATTTTCACAGTAAATTCTATTGACTTGTTTTGCTACTCGGTGGCTTCATCAGTTGAACTGGTACATCAAACTATTTTACAATTTCTTTTATATAACAGTAGGTGATCACAAGCCTAACTAGATGATTGAATGATTATTGTTCAACAGGTAGATTTTGAAAACATATCAACAGTACAATATTGGGAAACAGATACAAATATGTTAATTATTGGCATTCCATGCAGAGACATGGGAGAAGATAAAATAGCTTTTTATGATAGGAGTGTAAAAAGTAAGGTTTCATTTTGAGAGTGAAAAAGTTTGGGAAAAGGGCGTAGCGAGTTGAGCAATTTCACGAACAAAATAAAACTCACTTTCAACACAAATATCATACATATCATCAAAATGGCCAACATATGATCATTTTTATTAACGGACCTGAAAAAATGGAATTCTGGCATAACAAAAATATATACTCACTATCAACAGTCATGTTTATCTTTCAAAATTATTTTTTTTAACAAAATATTCATGTTTCAACTGAATTTCAAGGTTTTTTTCATGAGAATTCATTGGGTTACGGAATCAATATTTTTTTTTGCTAAATTTGACAATATTTCCATTTTGGGAAAAAGATAGCAATATTCGTTCAAACTAAATTTCACATGAATACAAGGACATGATATTTGGTGGAAAAACTCAAAATCTCAATCTGAAAACTCAAGCATTAGTGTTATACTTTCAGAGTGTTTTACGGTGTTGAAAAAACCGAAGTTGAATTCCTAATTTGATGAACATAATTGCAAAATTGAAAACACTCGAAATTGAAAATACTTTGATTTGAATTGTATTTGTTATATTCCAATCAACAATAAGACTGGAAATAAAGAAATGTGGTACCACATTGTCTTTTATAAAAAACGCAGTTTCAAACAATTTTTTGCTCAATAATTCATTTACTGTGTCGACGTATGCGCTCAATTAGAAATTACGGTTCATCTACAAGAGTCTTTAACGGTACCCCCAATATCTTTTTCCAGGAAATGATATGAAAAATGAGAAAAATATTTCAATTTCAATTGTGAGACGAAACTTTATAGGAATATATAACCCTCGTGGTTTCAACCCCCTGCGGGTGTGATTCTGCTGATTTTGACGTATTAGAATTTGTATATTTCCATTACTTTTGTAGTTTTTCAATAGAATCATCTTGCATTTCTATCATCTCATCACGAGGTAGAAAATGAGTAGAACATCAACAGGAACATCCAAGATCTCTGGATATAATCAATATTCTCCTTCATTCAAAATAACTGAGTGTTTTTATCATTTCCATTTCGCCCTGTGAAAGTTGCTGAACAGGCTATGTACCCAAAGCTTCGACCCATTTGGAGGGCATGCCAGCAATATTAACCAATGACCACTCTCCACAACCGTGAAGTTAGCCCAAGAATCGTGTGTCTCGAGTAAGCATAACGAATCCGCCATATTGGAGAAAATAGCATAATCTCACGATTAACGAATAGTGAAAGTATTATTCCACATATATCTCATATAATCAGAACAACCATTCAGAGCTGAGAGTTTGCAGAGTTCGAAAAGTAAATCTCGATACTCCATCCGTTATTCTTCCTCCTTTTCATAATATTACCTTCACGGGGATGAATATGACCTTTCTTTGATGATCGAGGATGACTACAACAGGTTCATCAGCTTGTACCTGCCTGAGGGTGGAAAATGACTAGTCAGAAACAATTCTACACCCATATCCCATATTCACCAGAGTATCAATACCGTAAAATTACCGTTTGTGGTAATGAAGCACTCTTGGGGCCGGGTTATGTCGGTGGATATGGTCTGTGACTGCATATGCTACACATGCCAACAGCAAATGTATAAGGATCTAAGACGCCTCTTGGCAGGCCCTGCACCAGGTGTCACAAACCAATATACCCATCTTGCAACTATGATAGACCGAGGTGTTGAAGACACCGTCCTGGCCTAGCCAACATGAACCTATGAGGTTTCGAATTCAACCCACTCATCCCGAAAAAAGCACAGGTCAGATGCTTTGATAAACCGATGATTATATGAGTTGATAGCTGATTGCAGAATATCGTTCTAGAAAAACTAGAATGAAGATCTGTAAATTGCCAATACAACTATCTTCCAATAAACGAATGATACTGATGAACTTACCTATTATTATTGTTACTACTATTATTCGGGATCATAGGCCGCGTCCTTTCCGCACTCTCGCCCCTTTCGAACGACGCCTGGTGGCTGGTAGGCGCACTATGTGATATCGTCAAGGCTGTATAGTCTTGAGTTTGAGCAGGTATGGGGATAGTTGTCAGTGCCGGTGCCGATGGAAGGTCCGATTTTGACACCCATGTCTGTTCCAGGATCGGTGGAGGAGCACTTGAGGTCAAAGGACTGTAATTCGAATGAAACATGAGTGTTGGAAAATGTCAAAAAGTAATCACAATGAGTCTGATGACTGCGTCGAGGAGATATACAAATGCGTTGAAGATATGGAAATTTTAATTCGCCTGCCGAAAAACAACTTTCGCCTGGTTGGTATTGGTAGTTTGATACTGTATACTGATAATAATAATAAGTTACTTGGTATTGACAGTTTGAAAATGAGACATGACGTGAAAAACGTCAACTTAAGTTTTCAGGAGGACATATTTCTACTTAGGAATCAACTTTCTGTCAACTATACTTTCCTAACCATGATACTCATGTCACAAATTTCAAACAAGTAATAATAGTGGAGTGATACCTCATTTCAAAAATCTTTCAATTCTGCATTCAACTATGTAGCATTTTTGACATTGATTGTTAGGTATGAGCAATGTTAGAAAACAATGGAATACTCTTTAGTTTCTCAATTGAAAACTGAAGGGTCAACCTGAGATTACTAGATTTCGCTAAATGAAATGTTCAAACTGAGCACAACTGGATGATGTTATTGAAGATAGCAAATTGTTTTTTCAATTTTTGCCCTGTTCGTCTTGAGTTATCATTTTGTTCACTACCTTTCGTTATATGAAAAATGGTTTTCATACTACAAGAGCGAATTGAAATACACTACAAACATGGAAAATCTGCAAGAGCCACTGCTTATGTTTTCAACAAGAATTATCCCGAGAAAGAAGAATAAACATATCAAAAAGTTTGAAGTAAAAATCAAGAGGCGTTTTTGAAAACAAAGGAAAATACAAATATCCCAGAGATTTCCATATTTTTGAGCAACATAAAAAAAACAAGAATTTTTTAAAAATGAATGAGTTGGAAATTGAAGAGAATTGGATAGGTAACTGGATAATTTTACGGAAATAACTGAGGTTATCATGAATTGTAAGAATTTATATAGCAGGTGTTATACTGAAAATCTGAATTTTATAAACTACACCTCACGATTTGATATCCACAAACATTATTTGAAAAATATATGTCACAATATGTTTCATTAACATAGTAGCTTTATCAAGTGATTTGAATACTCCAAGTTGCTTCTTACACTGATATTTATATACTACAGGTAACCATGAATTGGACTACCTCCAAAAAATTACCTAAACCTCCACCTAAGGTACCTCTTCAATTATGATCACCTGAAACATATTACCTCATATCTACATCAATGATAATTCTTTCTCGATTTTTAAGAAAACAAGTTCAATAATAGTGATCTATTCAAATCCAGTTCGTTATTCATTAGAATGCTTGAATTTTCAAGTTTTTCAATTTCCATTGCTTCAAAATGATTCAGTTTCAAACCTTTATTTACTATGTGCAAAATTTCGAACTCTCCGTTAAGGGTATGATTTTCTTCTAGAAGATGATTTGAATATGTTGAATTTGTTTTCCTTTCTACATAGCTCATATGATACTCCTGGAGTCGATTCCTGAATGTTCTGCCAGTTTGACCAATATATACCTTAGGACACGTTCCACACTTTAATTTATATACTCCTGATTTCTCGAATTTGGATGTTTTGTCTGAAAATCTGAAGTGAAGCTTGGATGTTTGGAAAAAAGGTTCAGTTCAGTTGAATAACAAAACAAAGTTTCAAAAATTCCAAACAGATGAATTACATATGCGTAGAGTATTTAACAAGAATAACTGAAATGGTCTCAACAATATCAACTGAATAAATTCGGTCACTCTCTAGTTTGTGCGAACTCAAAAATAGCAGAAAAGGGTAATTTTTCCCGATATTTTACTCACCATTGCTCCAATCTGTCTTCTTCCTCCTCCGCAGCTGTTACATCACTGGGAGGAGTAAGATACCCTGCTAACCGGAGTCCTCTTCCCCTTATACTCGATCCGAATTTTAGACTTTGTCGAAATGACGCTCTTGCTCTTCCAACTTGAGGGAAAAATTATCAAAGTTTTATTTTCAATAACTATTGTTGGTTTTCGGGTCAATTTTGATTATTTAGTAACATTTGATATAAGATAAAGAATATGAGTCAATTGACGATACGGCCATACAATGTTTATGCATTTGAAATTGTGATCGAAACAAATCAGATTCAATACTGTACAAAAATTTCATTCATATTTTTGGAGGCAAATTGGCCTAATCCTCAGTTTACTTCTGATACCTTGAGTAACCGAATTCTTCGAAAAGCAATGATATACGTTCAGATTATACATAAATCTCGTATAATGATAGACACTGTGAGTTTTCAGCTCATAGAATATAGGGTCTTTCAAATTCGATCCTCACATCCTCATTCGTGAAAGCCATTTTTCGCCGAAAATTCAATGACTCCAATTTATTGAAACAGAATGATAACTTATGATACATCATTGAAAAGGTAAAATCTGGTTCTATTTAAAACAAAAAGTGTTCAATGTAGCGCCCATGAAAAAAAATAAAGTTGATGATGATGGCCGGAAGACGAAACGTCGGATAGCAAGTCTGAAAACACCGTTATGTAGCAGGGAAAAAGTAGCAATATGGAAGTGCAATTTATGTTCGAATCCTTGGAAAAATGAAACCAGAAAAAATAAAAACCTTTTTCCGAAATTTCTGTTTTTTTCGGATATCTCCGGATATACTCAGAATTTCAGAACTTTCTCAACGGCATATTGTTAGTCAGATAAATGCGCAATTTGCCCGATTTAACCATCTTCGTATCTCTCATAGTTTCCGAGATACCAATGGTGAGGATCGAATTTGAAACACCCTGTTTATCAATGTTAACATCAATACAACCGCAATAACAATAATAATTCCATCTCAATGAGAAACAGGTGATTCTCATTCACGAAGTTAATAACGTCTCAGAAATATCAGATCTCCGACCCGTAGTATTCTCCTCACTTTCTCTGAATATTTAGAGGAGATTACAGATACACATATTTTCGAGTATGTTCTATAACATTTGTCATAATTTCTAATATACTCGTACAGTTCGATTTCAGGATGTAGCACTGTAACACTAACTTTCGTTGAAAGCTTCTGATATAATTCCTCTTCCATATTCACCGTTTCACTATCACTGTCGTCATTTAAATCCATAATGAATTTATTTCCACCATTGATATGGAAGTGTACAATCTCCATATAGTCTTTTTCAACTTTTCTACCAGTCTTCTTCGGTAATTATCTAATATTATAATATTAGATACTTCTTCTTTAACTAATTCTATCACGTTTTTATCAAATTTTGGAAAATAATTTTTACGCCTGATGCTTTGTTTCAATTTTCCCAAATTCAACTCGATGGGATTGATAACACAAAAATAGGAGGGAAGTCCCTATATGGTGTGTACATACTTTTCAGCAATACTCAGCATACATTTTTTCTAATGTTTTTATCTGTAAAACTTCAAGTAGTTGGTTTTGGTATAGTTATCTTCAAAATACAAATTGTTATCCATTAAAAAACTTTGTATTTCATCTTTCCTCGAATTTTCATTCGGTACTTTGATGAGCTGTCGCGAATGATAGGAAGCGCTGTCAAGAAGTATTACACTATTCGGATCCAAATTTGGGATCAACGTGTTTTCAAACCATTCCTCAAAAATATCAGCTTTCATTTTCTTATGATAATCAACATTGAAGTCTTCAAGTATTTTTCCACATAATTTTAAATAATTGGGAACTCATCCTTTACTTTCTCCGCAAATCACAATAACTAGTCGTGATTCTTTGTTTACAGGCATATTAGGCGTACACATTCTCGAACCATCAGTCCCCCCTTTCGTAACTGTGTCGTGAGTGTCATGCCATGTTTCGTCCAAATACAAAATTTGCCGTGGTTCTTGTCTATATTTAGTTATTTTTTCTAAGTATTTGTTACGCAATTCCACTATTCTTCTGCTTTTTATAACTGCTTGACGTTTGTTTATTATTTTGAATCTGAATCCTAGTTTCTTTATCCAATTCCGAAGAGTTTTGTCACAGCAGCTCACGTTATGGCCGGAAGTATTCAATTTCTTCCTTATGATTTCAATAATAGGAATCTCATTGCTTTTGAAACAGTCGTATATTGTTTTTTTAATGATTTTATTAGATCAGCATCTAGAGGTTTTGGTAATACCACATCAAATCGCGTCTTGCGTTCATAAGGTTTGTTTTTGACTATTTCACGTACTGTTGAGGAAGGAATTTTGGTCAAATCTGATGTTGCTTGTAATAGTTTTTTTCCCTCAAAACCAAACTTGATATGTAGATTCTTATATAAATTTAAACATACTCTCTGTGTTTCAATATTCAAATGCATCCGAATCTCAGTCACTGCTATCTCTTTTATCGCAGTGTTCACCAGCGCTATTGGAATCACTTCACAGGAAAAAGTCTGCGTTGTTATCACACTCGTTGTTACTATTAGTACTCGTCCAAGGACGCCACATTTTGAACAAATAACAAAAATTTTAAGTAACTATAACTTCACACATATTGAATTTCAACACTCAAATCACGATCAGTTCCTGAACTAAACACGACTCTTCTAACCATCCTCACATTCTATTGGTCACCGTAACATGACTTCAAACTTAATTTTATGACTCTTCAGCCAATCATAAAACTCGGTTAGTAAAAATTATCCAATTCGAACCGCCAATTCTTCAGTCCACGTGGACTAATTCGTANCTTTGGCAAATTTTCCCGTCCAATAAGAAGGGGGAAACTATTCAAGTTGACAGTGTATGTTTAAACCAGCATATACAGGGTGTATCTCAAATAATGTCATTGATTTCGGGTGGTGATTACTTGTCATATTTTATGAGAAAAAGTTCATATAAACGGGTATCCTAACTGTCAGTCAGATAATGTCATATGTTTCTTTATAAATGAGTTCAACCTCATGTTGGTCACGTTTTTTCCAGAATTCACTGAGTTTTCTTATTAAAGATACTGGCCTATAGTTAAGCACATCCGCTTTTAGTTTGTATGGTGAGTGGTTTTTCAGGTAAGATGATAAGAGTACGGTTCTGCCAAACTCTGAAAACTCTATATGGTATATGCTCTGCTGTTTCATCATTTTCCAAATAGAGGCGACACGCACTGTCTTCCGACAGTACGAGTCTCTGCATATGATGATTCAAATGACAGTGACCTGTAAGAAGGCCTGTTAGACATCGTAGTTTATCCCTACTGTAGTCCAACAACTGTTTGGTATCATGCTTCGAAGGGTGAATAAACGCCTTGGGGTGAGCCAATCCTGGAAGATTNTTTGTATTATGATTTTTTTTCGGGGTGCCAAAGAAGAGCCATATTTTTTTTAGTTTTGCTTATATGCGCACTCAGTATTTTTGACCATTTAATAAATTTTGTTGTAAGTTACATTCGTTTGATAATCACTCGTCAACTTTTTTTCCCTAAAGCGATCTAAATCTAAATCTAAAAAAAATTATTGCCATTTTTAAAAATATCCCTAGACTTTTCCGATGTGTGTATTTTTGAGTATATTCAATAACATACGATGGGGAACTATTTATATTTCGGAAACTGGCAACACTAATGTCAATAGGTGAAATGTGGCCACACCATAATGGAGTTTGACATTTTCTAGTATAAACGTACCCACAACGTTTTGATGTACAAGTGCTATTTGTTTTGTTTAGAGTGAGTTGAAATTAATTTCACCAAAAAATGGAAATTTCAAGAGAAGTTTTCGTTGTATCATTTTTCACAACTTTAGACGTGGATTATATAAAAAAGGATGTGTCGATGAATCAGTTGTTTGTATGGCGATAAAACACCATCAAAAACCACAGTATATCGCTGATATAGTGAGTTCAATCGTAGTCGTAGTTCGGTCGTCCAAAATCGGCTGTTGTGGCACAAAATAACACCGGTGCACATCTGTTCCACTCCAATATATTTGATTTTGCATGAACACTGTGTGAAAACAAATTGTTCCAGTTGGATACCCCCATAACTTCGCTTAAAAAAAGCTCGCGCCAAGTGGTGTAAGGAAATTATTGAAAAGTACGACCATGGTGCTCCAAAAGACGTGTATAAAATCGTGAAAGTTGACTATTCATGGATATATGCCTACAAGCAACAATCGACCGTGTGGGTATTCCAAGACGAGCTAAATCCAACAAAAGTTGTTCGTGGAAGAAGCACAGCGAATCAAATGGTCACCTGTTTCTTTGGCCGAATGAGTCGTTTGGCCATTGTTTCTCTTGAGCAACGTAGAACGGTCAATTCTGAGTGGTACACGACCATTTATTTGCCGGAAATTTACGAAGAAATTCGTAAAACTAACCGACGAAGACGAATCATTCATGACGATGCTAGATCTCACACATCTCGTCAAACAGGTGCATTTTCAAGCAGTCAAAACATCGAACTGATGACTCATCCTCCTTACAGTCCTGATTTGGCATGCAATGACTCCTTCTTGTTTCCGAATATCAAAGGTATACTGCATGGTCAAAGATTTACGAGCGCCGAAGGAACAGTTGAGCGGTTCAAAAACCATGTTTTGGAGATGTCTCGAGATACATGGAAAAACTATTTTGACAAATGGTTCAAATGAATGAAAAAGTGTATTGATCATGTAGGAGAATATTTTGAAAAACAATAAAGCCATTTTCATTGAAAAATGTTTGTTATTATTTGCTATTCCAGTTTGGGTTCAGGATGTAGCATTGTACTTTTTCGTCAACGATGGTTTATTTTATACAACGGATATGGGACGAATCTAATGCTTACTGTTACTTGACTAATATACAGCTTTCGTCACCCTCGATTGTACGAGTCTATGTAAAAAGTGCAATTTTTTTAGATACAATTTCATCATTAATATTTGAGAATTATCCAAGATGTTGTTCAGAATTTGTTCATTGGAATATAATTTTTACTAACAATTTACTGAAACGTTACAAAGTACCTCATAGCTAAATATTTGACTCACTCCTTTTCTCGATATACATATTGGATTTTTGGGATTTCATTTTAAACTATTCCACACATCGATATGAAGTTTTCAACTGATTTTGCATCGTAGAAAATTGATATGTTTCAGGATGATTTGATGATTATTTCTCACATAATCATCACTTGAGCTGTTCCAAATTCAAAATTATTGTGTAACTGTTTTCGTTCCAAAAAGTGAACGGAAACTTGCAATAATAGGAGCTGATATTAATCTACTGGGTACAAAAACTCTATCGTGCAAAAACTCAGGTATTTGGTTAGAAAGCGATACAACATGTCAGTCATTTAACAAAATAATTAGGAAGAATGAGTAAATTTTTCCAGGAATCTGTAATATAACAGCAGTAATATGACTAGAGATTTTATATTGACAGTTCGTAATTTCTGACATTTCTAAAAGTATCGTGCTGTAACTGCATATAAGGCCTCAAAATTTTGTTCAACGTTCAAATGCGTATATGTTAGTACAAAATGCCTGCATGAGATTTTCTCTAGGAGTTCATGGAATTGTTCATTAAAAACAAACAAAGAACAAAACAGATAAGCTACGTGTCATTCAAATACGTAAACTTCACTTTCTGCCAGCTGTTCACAGAATGTTTGAATATGGAAGTTACGTTTTTTTAATTGAAATGAAAATGTTTCGGAACATTAACAATTTACCTGAAAATAATCGACGCCAATTTATCATCCATAAACATAACCCCGAAGTTTCTCAAACAATGCTTTGCATGACCTAACAAACCCGGTAAGTAATTTTGACACACTTCTCGACGCCCGTCGAGAAAACTGTTGCAGTTCTGGTGTTTGGAAGAAGAGCTTGTTTTTTATTTATTTCACGTCAGAGGTTTCAGATCTACTTTTCATCAATTTCAATTTGCCAGAAGTCGCCATGAAATCAAACAGAGTATCGTAAACGATAAGAGATAGAGTGTCGGTTAAATTATGGCAAAGTTGCGTATTTTAGAGACCTATTCAATGATGTAAAACAATCGAATATAACTCTTTTGGTTTTGGAGATATACAGGAAAAACTAAAAAATCCCAAATAATATTTTGCCTATATCTTCTTTATTCGCAGACATATTGAAAATCTGTCCACATTTTGCTATTGGCACTCGATATGGGCTCTCAGAATGTATCCATGAATCTTTTATACAGGGTGTCATAAGACTTGGGCCACCCCCATCTTTGAATTTTTAAATACGGACCT